GGCTTTAACGGGGGGCATTGCTCTTGTTCTCTTTCCTCCCAGCTCCCTCCGTCTCTGCAAAGCCGTTGCATTCCTAGTTCCAAATGATGAGGTGGCGTCTCTCCTTCCCGGCCCCCCCTCCCTCCCTCTCCCCTCTCGCTTTGCATACATAGATATAAAAAAGATGACATTCTTTTCTTTTCTGTCATGCTGCAAAAATTAAAGACACATCTTCCCCCGGCCAGCCGCCAGCGTGTCCAAGTTTCCAAAGGCGCGATTGGAGGAAACTCCTCTTGCAACGTGTCTTGGGGGCATAGCTACAGGGTGGAAAGCCGGCCAGATCGTTTGGTGTGTGTGTCGTCAAAACCACACCTCCCCCCAACACAGATAGCTACTTTTGGTGGAGCGCTTGTTGCATTTAATGGCAGCCTATAAAAAAATTGTAGCATTCACCATATGATCCTCTCCTGTCCCAATTTCCACGTGTCCTTTTTTTTCCCCCCAGCAGGAACACACACACATTCAAAAATACTTTTTGTTAAAAAAAAGAGAAATGCAAAACTTGGGACGCCCCCAGGACAGCGAGGCTATGTCCGCACTGACGGGTTCTTGCAAAAGAACGACCGTTCTTCCGCAGAGCATCCACACTGCCCTTGCATGCTGCTCGTGCGCAAGAAGATTTACAGTAGGGCGTGGGAAGAGAGGGCTTCTTGCACAAGAGCTATGCTCTTTTCCAGCAGGTGGAAGCCCTCTTGCACAGGACCTCTTGCACAAGAGGGCAGTGTGGACGCCCGGCAGGGGTTTCTTGCACAAGAAAACCCTATGGCTAAAATGGCCATCAGAGCTTTCTTGTGCAAGAGAGCGTCCACACTGCCATGGATGTTCTTGTGCAAGAACCCGCCAGTGTAGACACCTGAGTGTGCGAGTCCCCACCCCAGGCTAGCTGGACGGGGCATGAAGAACTGGAGGCTGTCAAGTTTCAGATCATTGTGAAAAGCCACCCCACTGCCTAGCCTGGGGCCCATTCTCTGCCGGTGGCACCGTGGGCAGTTTGCACCGCTGTGAAGTGGTTGCAAAACCTACAACCCCCCACTGTGACAGGGAGCCTTTCTAACCCACTCTGCGAGTGCAAGTAACCCTCCTGGGGCCCTAGGCCTATTAGCTGATCAATGTTGTGTCAAGTGGAACCACAACAACACAACAGAGCTGACCTGTAGGGTGAAATGTCAATTGTGGTGGGGCTACGCCGACCTACGCCGGCGGGGGCCGGTTGCAAAACCTACAACCCCCCACTGTGACAGGGAGCCTTTCTAACCCACTCTGCGAGTGCAAGTAACCCTCCTGGGGCCCTAGGCCTATTAGCTGATCAATGTTGTGTCAAGTGGAACCACAACAACACAACAGAGCTGACCTGTAGGGTGAAATGTCAATTGTGGTGGGGCTACGCCGACCTACGCCGGCGGGGGCCGGCCCCTT